CATATGTATGGCTAAAGAATATTCCAGGGCAAGACTCTGTTAACTGGGTAAAAATACGGTTAAAAATATGGTAAAAATACGATTAAATTTAAAGCCAAAGCTAAAATAAAAATGTTTTTATTATCAATCCAATATAAAATAATGACTATAAAATCTAAGTGGGAATAATGCCACCTAACTGCTCTTGTAAATCTCTCTGCTGGCAAAGCAAAACAGAAGGGACAAACGAGTTCTTAAAAAAAAAAAAAAAAAAAAAAAGAGAAAGAAAAAAAGCTACTTCAAATTGGAAAATAATTTATATGTTTTACATGGCAAAACAACAAACTGTAGTTTTTTATATAAATGAAAAACAAAACACTGGGAAGTGAAGCTGTAAACCCAGGACATATCATTTCGTCATTTTCAATATTAGGTTCAGAAAACTGGCATGGCCTGCCCCTAGAAATAAAACCCCTTTCCCCAAAAGCATCTAAGTAAATCTTCATGAAGCCAAGTATTAGCAGAGAGAGCATGACATTTTATTAATCTTAAAATTTTAAAATAAGAAATATAGCAGAATCTTATGGAACTGCTGAGGCTCCAAATTTTAATGCCAGTCTCTTAAAGGATTCTGAAGTTCCTAAGTGTATACTGAGGGGAGTGATCAAAGTGAGAAAGTTTCCACAGTTCCTTTCCTGTTTTTCATTCAGATAACAATTGCCTTAAAGAGCTGGAAATGAGATACCTCCCTTTCCCACCATGAAGCATCAATAATATGTACAGTGTGTATGGAAACTTGTCACATTTATCTCTCCAACCTGACCAAAAGACATGTTATTTTTCCTTTTGTAAAAATCAAACTCTCTTAAAAATCAGGTCAAATTTAAGATAAGTTCCTTTGGACATCCAAGATTTTGATGAACTTAAGTGTTTTATTTTTTTATTGTTATTTTTTTATTTATTTCTTAAAATTTACATCCAAGTTAGCTAGCATATAGTGCAATATATGCAATATAGCATATAGTGCAACAGTGATTTCAAGAGTAGATTCCTTAACACCCCTGACCCATTTAGCCCATCCCCCCTCCCACACCCCCTCCAGCAACCCTCTGTTTGTTCTCCATATTTAAGAGTCTCTTATGTTTTGTCCCCCTCCCTGGTTTTATACTATTTTTGCTTCCCTTCCCTTATGTTCATCTGTTTTCTATCTGAANCACCCCTGACCCATTTAGCCCATCCCCCCTCCCACACTCCCTCCAGCAACCCTCTGTTTGTTCTCCATATTTAAGAGTCTCTTATGTTTTGTCCCCCTCCCTGGTTTTATATTATTTTTGCTTCCTTTCCCTTATGTTCATCTGTTTTCTATCTGAAGTCTTCATATGATTGAAGTCATATGATATTTATCTTTCTCTGACTAATATGGCTTAGCCTAATACCCTCTAGTTCCATCCATGTAGTTGCAAATGATAAGAATTCATTTTTTGATTGCCCAGTAATACTCCATTGTATACATATGTATGTGTATATACACATGTATATACACACCAACATCTTTATCCATTCATCCCACCGATGGACGTTTGGGCTCTTTCCATACTTTGGCTATTGTTGATAGTGCTGCTATAAACACTGGGGTGCATGTGCCCCTTAGAAACAGCACACCTGTATCCCTTGGATAAATACCAAATAGTGCAATTGCTGGGTCGTAGGGTAGTTCTATTTTTAATTTTTTAAGGACCTCCATACTGTTTTCCAGAGTGCCTGCACAGTCTGCATTCCCACCAGCAGTGCAAAAGAGATCCTCTTTCTCCACATCCTCACCAACATCTATTGCTCCCTGAGTTGTTAACGTTAGCTGTTCTGACGGGTGTGAGGTAGTATCTCAGTGTGGTTTTGATTTGTATTTCCCTGATGGTGAGTAATGTTGAGCATTTTCTCAGGTGTCAGTTGGCCATGTGGATGTCTTGAATTTAAAATGTTTTTTGGTGATAATGTACACCAACCTATAATTTCCTGTTACCCTATTTGGTGATTGCTAAAAAATACATATCCTCACTAACAGTTTGAGATTTAAAATCCTTAGAGTGTAGTAAAATCCTCTCACAATACTGTTGTTGTAGGAACCGCGAATGGTGACAGTTGATGATGCTTTACTTGTACAAGCTCACTTATTTCTCAGAAGAATCCCATAAAATAAGTCCTATTATTATTTCCATCATTTCACAGACCAGGGAAGTGAGGCTTAGAGAGATAATGCATACAACTTACTCGAAACTTGAACTCCTAACCACGATCTCTCCTAAATAAAGTCACATGTTATTCTACTTCAATATTGGGTTTTAAAACCACGTTTTTAACCATGAGGACTTGGAACACCCAAGTTTCATCAAATAATGAAATCTTCCCTTAATATTATATACTGTATTTTGGTTTTTTCCCTACAATTTTTTAAATGTTTATTTATTTCTGAGAGAGAGATAAAAGAGTGCGAGCAGGGCAGGGGCAGAAAGAGGGAGACACAGATTCTGAAGCAGGGTCCAGGCTCCGAGCTGTCAGCACAAAGCCTGACGTAGGGTTTGAACCCACAAACCACGAGATCATGACCTGAGCTGAAGTCAGATACTCAACTGACTGAGCCACCCAAGTACCCCCTCAAAAAATTTTAATTTATTTATTTTTAGTTTTTTAATGTTAATTTATTCTTGAGAGAGAGACAGAGCACAAGCAGGGGCAGAGAGAGAGAGGGAGACACAGAATCTGAAGCAGGATCTAGGCTCTGAGCTGTCAGCACAGAGCCCAATGCGGGGCTCGAACCCATGAACCATGAGAGCATGACCTGAACTGAAGTCGGACGCTCAACCGATTGAGCCACCCAGACGCCCCTCTAAATTTTTTTAATGTTTATTTATTTTTGAGAGAGACAGAGCACCAATGGGGGAGGGGCAGAAAGAGAGGGAGGCACAGAATCTGAAGCAGCCTCCAGGCTCTGAGGTGTCAGTACAGAGCCCGACGTGGGGCTTGAAGTCACAAACTGTGAGATCATGACCTGAGCTGAATGAAGTTGGTTTCTTAACCAACTGAGCCACCCAGCCACCCCAGTTTTTTTCACCTCCTAAAATCCTATGTTCATACAGGAGGGAAAATGAACGAACCCTTCTTCACATGTATTATATGCCAAGAACTGTGCTGAGCAAACCAGTTAACTTTGTCCTATTTCTTACACTCTTCCAGTAAAGTATCTTTAATTTTACAGATGAGGAAACTAAGGCTCAGGAGGTTAAACAGGTTCCTTAAAGGCAAATGGCTAAGCAATGAGAGAGCTCAGATCTGTACTCTGTACAACTGAAAAGTCCTTGGGCTTTTTTTTCACCTTTCCCTGACACCTATGAGTGTGGAAAGCATACTACTTTGGGAAATACACATGTTATGTAACAGATGAAACATAGCATCCTTTATTACTGCAAATACCACACGAAAACATAAAATATTAAGAATTTGCTAAGGAACTGTAAGTCTCTAAAAACTTTTCCTGTACAAAGTAGCACTTCATCAAGACAGAAGACAAAGTATTTCTGATATTTAAGTTTCTGTTCCACTTATGAATCCAAACAAATGAAATGTCATCAAAAAATAAGACGCTGAGTTGACAGCATAATACTACAAAGGTTAAAATATAGGCTACACTTTCCTAAGACTTACTGAGGTGTTTGCCACTCCTACCTAACTGCACCAGAAAAGTAAACGAATCTCTTCTAGTTGGAAACATATCTAAAATGTTTAACTGATGATGACAGAAAAATTCCACAGAACTTACGTAGCACAGTGCAACACTGTTTTCCTTTTGAGTGAGAAAGAGGAATCATCTCCAGAATAATCTCCAGGAAAGTAGGTAACAGCATCTGGTAGCTCAAAGCATCTATGTGGTTGCAACCAGAGTTCTAGAACATTTCAAAGCCTTCCAACATTTTTGCTTTGAGTGGTTTTCAAGTACGAGAAGCTTGTACCTCATTAATGGCATGGTTTTATGAGTAAAAATAACCCGCATAAGGCTTTAAGAGTTGTAATGTTCTCTAAAATTGAAATAGAACGTCATTCCCAGGATTTAATATATAAGATTTTCCAGGAAATCCTGGCTGAGCAACTAGAGAACTGTCATCATTTGCAGTCACCACTTTCATGTCCCAAAGCAACTCATGATGCATTTCTGCCATATAATTTTACTTCATTTTCCTTGTCAAACATCTAGAATTAAGGGAAGTTCTAACACTCCTTTTATTTTCTAAAGATTTTATTTTTATGTATTTTTAAAATTTTTATTTATTTTTTTAGAAAGAGAAAGTAGGGGGCGGGGAGGGGCAGAAAAAGAGGGAGACACAGAATCCGAAGGAGGCTCCAGACTCCAAGCTGTCAGCACAGAGCCCGATGCGGGGCTCCAACTCATGAACCGCGAGATCATGACCTGAGCTGAAGTCTGACACTCAACTGACTGAGCCACCCAGGTACCCCTAAAGATTTTATTTTTAAGTAAAGTCTACACCCAACGCAGGTCTTGAACTCACAACCCCGAACCCCGAGATCAAGAGCTGCATGCTCCATTACCTGAGCCAGCCAGGCGCATCTCTAACATTCCTTTTAAAAACACTGTGAGGGGGCGCCTGGGTGGCTTAGTCGGTTAAGTGTCCGGCTTTCGCTTAGGTCATGATCTCGCAGTTCGTGGGTTCGAGCCCCGCGTCGGTCTCTGTGCTGACTGCCAGCTCAGAGCCTGGAGCCTGTTTCAGAGTCTGTGACTCCCTCTCTCTGACCCTCCCCTGCTCACGCTGTCTCTCTCTCTCTCTCTCCTAGAAATAAATAAAAATGTTTAAAAAAAAATAAAAACACTGTGAGATTTTTTTTTTCAGACACCACAAAGAAATTTATACAAAGTTCTGAAATTCATGTAAATAACTAGACTCTATGACTGAACATCTGTCAGGTTTAATCCCCATCACTGAATTTTATAAAACTCTGAAATTAAGACTTACCTGCTTCATTGTTAATTGGAAACTCCCACAGTTTCCCCTCTTTTGTCCACTGGATCATCTCCTCAAAACCATTCTGCAGGGGCTGTTCGTTTACCTGGGCTAACTGCTTAGCAAACTCCACATCCCAAAGTGAAGGTGTGGTCTCTGTTTAATAAAAACATTTCAAATAATCACAAGTCAATGCATATATAGCTTTATTTTTACAAAAATGTTATAATCAACTCCAAATTGGTAAACCATTTCAGGCCCTGAGGCATATACATAAACAGTATACAATGAAAGGTCATTCTCTCAGAGCTAAAACTGTACAAAAATGACATAAAAAGCCTGCAGCAATAATAACTGCAAGTCTTAGCTTTTGTTTTACTACACTGCTAGGCAAGCAACCCCTACAGTCTTACTGCCCCCTCTACTGGAAAGGAAAAAATATATATTTTGTTTAAGGATGTATTCATGAATGTGAATATTTTTATAAGACATGACTTTGATATTTTAAGTCGAGCCTGTTTACCTTTCAGTCTATCGAAATACGTCACTAATGTACAACAAATAAAGACCACAGAAAATAAATTAACATAATAATACTACTACTAACAGACATGGAGCACTTACTGCACGCTGTGCAAATGCTTTTTCTTAGTTCATTTAATCCTCACAACGAACCCTCTGAGTTTAAAGTTAATATCATGTTAGTTTATAACCACCATCATATCACATTTTAATCATTTTTATTTGCTTTGGAAAAGTAAGACATCTTTGGAGAATGAACTGTATTCCCACCAGTCACTGTTGGTGGGAATGTAAAATGGCACAACCTCTGAAAAAGTCTGGCAGTTTCTTAAAAAGTCAAAAAATAAACTTTATATACAATCATGTGACTCCTAGATATTTACCCAAGAGAAAACATATGTCCACACAGACTTGTATGTGAAAGTTCATATACAACCATGCCTGACTACACACTGACTGACTGCTAGACAGATTTTAATTATGTTGGCTAGAACATCTCATACAGAGAAAAGGTCACAGCAGTGAGGCTTAATTAGCCACATTTCCAGAGTAACCATAACAGCAAAATAACTTAATTATCATAGTCACCTTTTATAGATTTATTCAATGGACACTGGTCAGCCTATATCTTTTCCATGATCATGATCATCAACACCATCATTTTTTAAATTAAAAAAACTTTTTATACTTTATTTTATATTTGAGAGAGAAAGAGAGAGAGAGAGCACACAAGCAGGGGAGGGGCAGACAGAGGGAGACACAGAATCTGAAGCAGGCTCCAGGCTCTGAGCTGTCAGCACAGAGCTCAACGCTGGGCTTGAACTCACAAGCAATGAGATCATGACCTGAGCTGAAGTCAGACGCTGAACCGACTGGGCTCCCCAGGCGCCCCAACACCAACATCACTGTTACTGCTAATAGCCACATCTATATACTGAATTCCCACTGTGCTCCCGGCACTGTGCCTGATAATTTACTTACATTAGTTCATTTAATCCTTGAGAGTCATGTGCTAGCCGTATTTTATAGACAGAGAAAAGAAAACTCAAGAGGTTAGTATGGCAGAACTTGAATTTGAATAATCCACATCTATCAAATACCGAAAACTCCCTCCATTAAGCTATATGGCCTCCCGGCTCTAAATCACTCCAGGATAAGCAGTAGGGTCTATGACTATATCCTTTGCAGCAGTGGTAGGAACATGGAGGGAGCAAATGTGGGAATCCTGGGATAGAAGAACTCATTTATTCCGTCAATAAATAATTACTGAATGCCAATTATATGTCAGGCATTATTTTAGGTGATAGGGAAACAGCAGTAAATAAACTCTAAATTTAAGTCTGCATGTTGTTGCTACTGTATTTAATTGAGAATAAAAGACATTCTTTAGACTCATTCAAGTATAACTAATTAAAACAGTGCCTTCATTAGAGTAAATTTTCATAAATTTGCATATTACTTTCCTTATTAAAGTATAATCATTTTATACTGTTTTATAAAAGTTCAGTACTTCCTTGCCAGCTAATTTCAGTTTTAGGAATAGGATTTCTGACTGAAAAAAGCAAATTGGCTTCTTCAAGAATCCAAGTGCCTCTTCTGGCTGTTCATTAGGTGGACAACAGCAGCTGCCCTCAGAGTAAATTCCCTTTTTTAAAAAAATGTTTCTTTATCTTGAGCACGTGCGAGCTCAAACAGTGCAGTTTTCACAAGAGAAGGAGGGTTGTTCTCTTAGCTTCACCTTTAGTTTAAATGAAGAAACACTGATTGAATTAATGTAAATACAAAGTAAAGTTAGATAAAGTGATTTCAAGTCATTCAACTTTTCCTCTATGGGTAGATATTGTAGAGCTCAATTTGTTCAAAAAAAAAAGTTACAATTTAACATAACGAATTCCTGTGATCTGTGAGTCACCTGCCTAGGTGCTGCTGCGTACACAAATGTCAGTGACAGCTAAGCCCTAACATCTAAACGTTTATTGAATATTGGGAAAAATCAGAGGTTTATAGAAGTTAAGTGATAGATTAAATGAGCCATTGGAGGCTGGCCTCACAACTTAAAAATCAATGATAAAATTATTTCTAACTAAAATTATTTCTAAAGCTAACTTAGAGGTTTTTGGAAATGAGAGTCACTTGTAAGCTGAAGACCATTTGTACTGAATTTCCTCATCTATTTTGTCACTAAACCATATTTAATGTCAAGCAAGAGGACATCTCATTTCTCTTTTAATTAGACTCCAAATGATGAATTTGAAGGATCTGACTTCTTACCCAAAGAAAGGGAAAGACTAGAGAACAAGGACTGGCTATGTATTAAGGAAAAAAACACAAGACTACTGAGTATGTTTCCTGAATGTTCTTCTTCCCAGCTCTGGAACAATCACCAAATCACTTCACTACGTTACTGCTATAAATGCTATCTCCTCTTCTGGACAGCAAGCTGCTCTAGGGCCGAAATCAGGTTCTACTTTGTAATAGCACAGCTGCAAATGGTGGGGGATCATTCTCATCCAAATCAGTGGCCAACTGATCGCTCTGGATTCGTGAAGTTGGGAGGACTTTCCTCCTGCTGTCTCCTTGCATGCAACACGTCAAGGGAGGAATCTGACCAGGACTAACAATGTCAACAACTACATTCATAAGCAGGACCCAGGCCAATGACAGAGTGGCATATTACAATACCTGACATATGTAATCAAAACATTAAGCACATTTTGAAAGGACATTTTTGAAAGATGGAATGTTTCTATACTTGAGAAACAGTGTTCTTCTTCTTCTTCTTTTTTAATGTTTATATATTTATCTTGGGGGGGGGGGGGAGAGAGAGAGTGCATGTGCACGGAAGAGAGAAAGGGGGAGAGAGAGTCCCAAGCAGGTTCCGTGATGAGAGGCTTCATCCCGCAAATCATGACCTGAGCCAAAACCAAGACTTGGACCCTTAACTGACTGAGCCACCCAGGCACCCCTAATAGTGTTGTTCTTAACAAACCTGTTTCAGGTGACTCTTCAGTAATAGCCTTAAGGTCAAAAATATTAAGTCTCTTTCCTTTGAGCATATTTTTCCTAAGACTGAAAAAGAAAAAACAATTTAAGTTAATATTTTTATAAACTACCAACAAAGAATTATTTATGAGAAGAAAATTTTACATGAAACACTGTAGAAATTTTAAAAAATTCCACTGACCCACACCCAAGCCTTTCGACTAAATCTCCACCTCTTTACAACTGACAATGAGAAAGCGGAACAAATGCACTTGAATTTTTGCATCATGATACAATAAAGCAGGTTAAGTAGTTTAATTTCTAAAATAGCTAATTGAAAAGATTAGCTTAAATTTTTACGTGATCCATTTCATAGTAAGGTTTTAGAAAACTCAACATTAGAAAGCTATTAAAATATGCATATTTAACAAACAAACGTTTGTTAAAGTCAACGTTTGTCTTAGTTTAAGGGCAGAAAACACTGCATGTTTAATTACAAACAGTAATTATAAAAGATGGCATAGATAAATCAAAACATTCCCACTTATAAAGCAATCATTCTGTAATTTTAACATAATGATTAACTTTATATAACATTTTTAATTAACTATTGAAATTAATGTCAGAAAGTTAATAACTTTTCCTTGTATATTTTAATCAACTGCTTCATGCATTAATTCACATTCATACTTATATAAACTTACTGGCAGATTAAAACTAGTTTGAGGGGCACCTGGGTGGCTCAGTCGCTTGGGCAACCAACTTCACTCAGGTCATGATCTCAGAGATCATGAGTTCAAGCCCTGCATCAGGCTCTGTGCTGACAGCTGAGAGCCTGGAGCCTGCTTCGGATTTGGTGTCTCCCTCTCTCTCTACCCCTCCCCCGCTCACATTGTGTCTCTCTCCTCCAAAAATAAACATTAAAAAAAATTTTTTTAAGTGTAAAAACTGCAGAGTTAATTTTAAAGTAATTTTGAATTCTTTTCTGGATCACATTACTTTTCTCTATGAAATTACACTAACTGAAAAAACTGCAAATACCATATTAAAATTAGATAAAGTGATCTTATGAAATTACACTAACTGAAAAAACTGCAAATACCATATTAAAATTAGATAAAGTGATCTCAAATCACCTCAGTTTTCCTCTAGCAGGTCCCCAAGTATTTTTTTAAATGTTTTCATTTACTTTTGAGAGAGAGAAACAGAGTGTGAGCTGGGGAGGGACAGAGAGAGAGGGAGACACAGAAACTGAAACAGGCCCCAGGCTCTCAGCTGTCAGCACAGAGCCTGACGCGGGGCTCGAACCCACAGCCTTGAGATCATGACCTGAACTGAAGTTGGACGCTCAATCGACTGAGCCACCCAGGCACCCTGTGGTCTCCAAGTATTTTTAAACAAAGGTATTTATGCTCCAGAACTATCCTAAGGGCTCTGCGTTCTTCTCAGTACCCAGCAGTCCACTACTGTGCATCAGGTCAACAGGACAACAGATTAAGGCGACTCACGGTAAAGAGGGAATGACCTGGTGAAGCATGGGATTTTAGAACGAACTAAAGAGGAAAGGAAAGGAACAGACATTTGCTGTGCGTCTACTGTATGTAGTCTGTACATTCCTTTCCTAGTTCTCAAGAAAGCCGAGGAAAGAGACCAGCGAGGGATGACTCTAGCGCAGCGCTGAGACGGAGGTATGCCAGAATGACTCCAGAGCCAGTGCTCTGTACACCCCACTTCTCTGTCTCTTACTGAAGGCATTAGCCCAGGGCATACTAGTGGTGGACTGTCTCAGGCTGTCCCAGGACAGAGCAGGGACAACAACTTGGTACCTTGCCACTGCTTCCCCTGACTCTAGAGTCCCTCAGTCAGTTTTTAATACAGTCATTATACGCACATGAATCCTGCTCTACTTTTTTAGCTACTCCCTTGCCACCTTCAATTTTTTTTAAGATTTTGCTTTACTTTTTAAATTTTTTTAATGTTTATTTATTTTTGAGAAAGAGCAAGAGTGAACGAGTTGCACAGGTGGGGGGAGGGCAGAGATGGAGATGCAGAATCAGAAGCAGGCTCGAGGCTCTGAGCTGTCAGCACAGAGCCTGACGCAAGGCTTGAACCCACAAACCATGAGATCATGACCTGAGCTGAAGCCAGACACTTAATTGACTGAGCCACCCAGGCATCCCTGTAAGGTTTTACTTTTAAGTAATCTCTCTATCCAACGTGAGGCTCAAACTCATGACTCTCAGATCAAGAGTCACACACTTTACCAACTGAGCCAGCCAGGCACCCGCCACCTTCTAGTTTTAATGACAGCTACTATCATTAAGAATCAAGCTATGATAAAGCATTTGGATGTAGTTGCATGGAATCATTTCAACAAAGATTCATTCAAACAAGACTGAAATTAGGTATTCTTTAAGTAAGGTCTATACCCAACGCAGGGCTTAAACTCACAATCCCCAGATCAAGAGTCACATGCTCTACTGACTGACCCAGCCAGCCACTCCTGAAATTAAATATTCTTGAGGAATCTTAAGTAAAACTCAAGTACACATTCTATTTTATCCAATATGTCATAGGTACTTAAATAGGTATGTCACTTTAAATTAGTAATTCAAATAATCTCCCAAAGTCACTATAACCTCTTGAACTTCCTTTGTTAACCAGTGACCATCTTTTACAATTTTCCAGTACAAATTAGTAGTTTAACTTCTGAAAAGAGCTAACTCACGCTGCTGGAGTTATAATTAAAAGAAAATCCATAGAACACATTAACACATCAAAAACACTCCACTGTAGGTACCCCCTCCTAACAAAGATCAGTTAGTTTTTGTCACAGCATGCTAAATATCTGGGTCCCTGTCCCCAACTATCACTTTATGGGCCTGAAGAAAGCAGAAATTTTAAGTGAATATAGACAGCTTTCTATTATGATAATAATTATGTAAAACATGGCTTAGCATCTTAAAGTCTGCAAATTACCAAATTCAAATTGCCACAAATAATCTACCACTTTCAGATGTTATAATGGATCCTCCTTTCTTTCTTTTTTTTGATGATAGGTTATTTCTCTAAGATATGAATAATGACTATTATATAAAGAAATATAAAGAGCATATGAATATACATTGTTATATATGAGTCAGAATGAAAAATAATGCGTCTCACAAAATACTCATTTGTTCAGAATTAAATCAGCTCCACTTATCCTAAATCAGGAGACTTCTATTCATCGTGGGTAAACGGTAGGTGGGACCCATTAACCCAGAACATCTTTCCCTCCGTAGGAAGTGGTACATGCAGAGTGAGAAAACAGATATAACACATCCATAATGCTCAAACACCTATCAGCAATGACATGCACAGAATAAAGGAAACCTCCAGAGAAACAAACAAAACAAAACCAAAGAGACTGCAAAGGCTGATACCTTTTTTTAAGGTCATCGGTCCTCTTTGGGCCCAGGCACTCACTAGATCCTTCATCAAACTGAATTTGATGCAATGGTCTTGTACGAACTTTAGCTGTGGCAGATTTGGCAATTTTCATATCCGATATTATGTTACTGACGCTGAAATAAGAAAAAGGTCAAGTGTATTAGAAATTTTAGCTACAGAATAGTAATAAACTTTCTTACAGGAGATTCATATCGCTTTGTTTACATCTCACTTCTACGCACTAACACATATGCATATGCACATATTACATTTAAGTAAAAGATTTTTGTTTTAAGTTTATTTATTTATTTTGAGGGAGAGGGCAGAGAGTGAGAATCCCAAGAAGGCTCTGCACTGCCAGCGCAGGGCCCAAAGTGGGGCTCAAACCCACCAACTGTGAGATTATGACCTGACCTAAGTCAGGCGCTTAAGTGACTGAGCCACCCAGGTGCCCCTTAAATGAAAGATTGTATGTCATACATTATTAACATTCACTCTCCACAGATCACTAAGATTTATGTTTCCTTTTGAAACATAAGTTTTGAAGTGCTTTTCAGACATGTGCATTTAAAACACAAATTAAAAGTGTTTATTAAAAAAAGTGTCACTTATGAAAAAGTATCAAACATTTGAAGTCATATATCAACTTCAAACCTGGCATCAAGTATGAGGTGAAAGGGTGAACGGAAGGTGTCAGGTAAACTAAGGCTAAGAGCAAACACGGAAGGAAACCGGCCTGCAGATGATCGCATTCTGCATAAGACCTACAAATTATTTAATGGAAAAAAATTAATCTCCTCAGAGAAACGGTCTTATTCTGTATTTGTTTTTAATAACATTACTGAATTTAGTCTCTTTTTTCAGTAACAAGAAACTGTGTAACTTTGCAAAAGAAAATTTTAACCATTCCATTGATCTTTCATAAACTGCCATCTTACTTACTATGTATTTTTAAAAAAACCAAATTAATAATAATCCACTTAAGAGAAATATTTTATATAAAATATAAATGTATGAATATAATTGTATATTACTCACCACTTGCATGAACACAGCCTATTTTGAGAAACCTGCATTACCGACAAAACTATTTGATCCACTAACCTAATTTTAGCTCTTTCTCCATCTTTCTGAGCCTTCGAGACCTCCTCGTGCTGCTGGAGCTGCCTGAGCAGCTCTGACTTGGTCATCTGCTTATCCAACGGGAGAATGTCTGCAACAGCAGCTGCGGCTGCTACCAACTCAGGACTCAGGGACTTGGTTCTAAGAAAATGAAAAACAGATGAGAAAAAAAGAGGCATTACTTATTATGCCCTTAGTTTAGAGGAAAGTAAAATGATTTTTTTTCCAAAGAAAACTTTTTGGTCACCAAAAAAAAAAAAGCTTCGGACTCTGGCTCAGGTCATGATCCCATGGTTTGTGAGTTCAAGTCCCAAATCAGTCTCTGATCCTTTGCCTCCCTCTGACCCTGTCCCTACCCTGCTTGTGCACGTGCTCTCTCTTGAAAATAAAATATTAAAAAAAATTCAATGTCTGACAAAATCAAGAATTTGTAAATGTTAGGTATTAGTTGTATGTAAACTTTAAAATGTTAAAAGTTGACGTTAATGACAACATGCAGAAGAATGAAACTATATCATTTTCTCACACCATACACCAAAATAAACTCAAAATGGATAAAGGACCTGAATGTGAGACAGGAAACCATCAAAACCCTAGAAGAGAAAGCAGGAAAAAACCTCCTTGACATCAAACGCAGAAATTGGTTACTTGACACATCCCCAAAGGCAAGGGAATCAAGAGCAAAAATGAACTACTGGGACCTCATCAAGAGACAAAGCTTCTGCACGGCAAAGGAAACAATCCATAAAACTAATAGGCAACCGACGGAATGGGAAAAGATAGTTGCAAATGACATATCAGATAAAGGACTAGTATCCAAAATCTACAAGGAACTCACCGAACTCCACACCCAAAAAACAAATAATCCAGTGAAGAAATGGGCATAAGACATGAACAGACACTTCTTTAAAGAGGACATCCAGATGGCCAACAGACACATGAAATGAGGCTCAGCATCCCTTATCATCAGGGAAATAACAAATCAAAACTGCACTGAGATACCACCTCATGCCGGTCGGAGTGACTAAAATGAACATATCAGGAGACTATAGATGCTGACGAGGATGTGGAGAAACGGGGACCCCCCTACACTGTTGGTGGGAATGTAAACTGGTGCAACCCCTCTGGAAAACAGTATGGAGGTTCCTCAAAAAATTAACAATAGAACTCCTCTATGACCCAGCAATAGCACTGCTAGGAATTTACCCAAGGGATACAGGAGTGCTGATGCATACATAGGGTAACATGTACCCCAATGTTCATAGCAGCACTCTTAACAATAACCAAATCAGGGAAAGAGCCTAAGTGTCCATCAACTGACACATGGATCAAGAAGATGTGGTTTATATACAATGGAATACTACATGGCAATGAGAAAGAATGAAACCTGGCCATGTGTAGCAACATGGATGGAACTAGAGGGTGTTATGCTTAGCGAACTAAGTCAGGCAGAGAAGGACAGATACCATATGTTGCACGTATAGGTGGATTAGGAGGAAGTTAACAGAGGACCATGAGGGAAAAGAAGGAGAAAAGCAGTTGGGGAGAGGGAGGGAGGCAAACCATGAGGGACTCTTGAATGCTGAGAACAAACTGAGGGCTGATGGGGGTGGGGGAGAAGGTAGTGAAGTGATGGGCATGGGGGAGGGCACTTGTTGGGATGAGCACTAGGTTTTATATGGAAACCAACTTGACAGTAAACTATTCAAGAAAAAAAAAGTTTAAGTTAATGGATACTTGGTGAAGCACGATACTAACTCAGAACAATGTATTAAAGTAGAGGGAGAAGGAAAAGAAAAATCAAAGTGTGGGGGGGTAAGGGATCAGCCTTAATAATAATTTGCTGGATTTTTATTTTACAAAATGTTTATTTTTGAGAGTGCTTCAGCATTACTGCAAGCTGCAGGAAAGGGGATTTTTGTTTAGCAACATCACTGCTTGTATTAAGGTGGAAAACAGGAAATAAACTCAATGAATTGGATGAGCCAATCTAAGGGGACTTCCAGTGTTGAAGGTGCCTCTTGGCTTCTTAGCTGCAGATGGTAAAATGTAAGAGATAAGAAAGAACTTTTCCATATAAAGAGGCCAAGACTTGCTGATATCCAAAATAAAACAGTTCTCATCCTCAGCCCGTCCAGACAACAAATGATGCTAAAATCTAGAAATGGTTTCTGAAGAGGGGTGCCAGGGTGGCTTGGTTGGCTGAGCGTCTGACTTGATTTCGGCTCAGGTCATGAGATGGAGTCCCCTGTTGGGCTATGTGTTGGGTGTAGAGCCCGCTTAAGATTCTCTCTACCTCTGGGACACCTGGATGGCTCAGTTGGTTAAGCATCCGACTTCGGCTCAGGTCGTGATGTCACAATTGTGGGTTCGAGCCCTGCATCAGGCTCTGTGCTGACAGCTCAAAGCCTGGAGCCTGCTGCAGATTCTGTGTCTCCCTCTCTCTCTCTCTGTCCCTCCCCCGCTCATGCTCGCTCGCTCTCTCTCTCTCTCTCTCTCTCAGAAATAAACATTAAAAAAAAATTCTCTCTCCCTTTGCCCCTCCCCAACTCATGCTCAAGGTCCTGTGTTCTTTCTCTCTCAAAAAAAGAAATGGTTTCTGAACAGGGATCAAATTCAGTGCAGTGTCAGGAAAACAGCTATAGGCATGACTGTAAAACCCTTTGTTAAGATCTTACAAAGATTATTATTTTTTTTAAAGATTTTATTTTTAAGTAACCTCTACACCCAGCTTGGGGCTTGGGCTTACAACCCCAAGATCAAGAGTTTCATGTTCCACCTACTGGGCCAGCCAGGCACCCCAAGATTTAAAATGGTGCCTCAGAGTTTTAAACAAACAGGAATTCTAAGAAACTTGTGGGTGTGGTCCTACAGCCTTGCACAGGGAGCTCAATGTAGAATATGATCTTGGTTCCCAAACTACGCCCTAAGGAACCCTGGAACACTGTAGGGAAATATAGCAATCTGTCAGTAACAGAACTACTAAGTCAAGGTAGTTCGTGGCTTTGACACTAGACAACTGCATGCCTTCTGATGACATCATATCTTTGTGGAGATGGGTTTTCTGGCATTGCTATGGTAAAAAAAGGCAAGTGCCCCTCAAAAATCAGTATGAAACAGGAAATGAGAGTGGCAGCGTCCAATCTGATTCCAAGGCTACCTCACAGAAACAATACAAATTCCTCCTGGCTCACTTTCTCTTGGGACACTCGCCCTAGGAACCCAGCTGGCAGGCAGTGAGGAAGCCCAGGCCACACAGAGAGGCCGCATGTAGGTATTTCTGGGTAAGGTCTCTGCTAACAGCCAACTTCGACTGTCAGAGCTATGAATGAGCAAACCTTCAGATGATTCCACTCCCTGGACTTGCAAGTCTTCTGAGTAAGGACAGCCTGGACAGGGCTACCCTTCTCTACTGTGCTCTGTCCACATGCTGACCCACAGACCCCAAGAGCATAAAAACATGGTTGTTTCATGCCACTACATTTTGGGGCGATTGTTTTGCAGCCATACTAACTATATCAATGGGGACTCAATATATAATACAAATTAAAATGCTAAAAACAGGCCATGCATAGAACAACAACAGTCATCATGAATCAAAGATGATGATTTATCCAATTATGTGCATCTGGGATCCCTTAAAAAAAAAAAAAAAAGAGTGGGGAACAAAATCATTAAAAGATACGTTAAAAAATTTTTATTAAGGAAACTCTATATCCAGCATGGGGCTTAAACTCATGACCCTGAGATCAAGAGTCACATGCTCTACCAAGTGATCCAGCCAAGTGCCCTAAAAGATTCATTTTGAAAAACTCAAAATGAATGTTTCTCATTCACCAATCTTTTGACGCAGGACTAAAGCCTCCTTGAAGAGAAGTTCCAACATATATCTTTTATATATACACTGACCCATGGTACCTCCTCCAAGAGTTCCAATTTTGGTTTCTTTAAAGTGGAAACATGGAGAAGAACTTAAAAATGCTTACAAAGTAGTATGAATGCGGAATTTTCTTACATTTTTCTGCTTGTCTCATTCATATCTAATTGGAAAGGAATTTTTAAAAATTCCTTTCCTGAGTCTTTCAAAACATTCAGCTCATTTTAACCATTTCTATAATAGATAATTAAATTGTATAATTATAATAAAAAGCACAATGGGTCACAAACAGGTCTGGAAGCTAAAAAAAACCCTCTTAGTAAGTGTTTACATATATATACTTATGTATATATGTATGTATATATATGTATGTACGTGTGTCTGTATTATCTAATTCTATATACTTTAAAAAGTTATTTTATGGGCACCTGGGTGGCTCAGGTTAAGCATCTGACTTTGGCTCAGGTTATGATCTCACAGTTCCTGAGTTCAAGCGTTGGGCTCTGTGATGATAGCTTGGAGCCTGGAGCCTGCTTCAGATCCCTCTCTCTCTGCCCCTCCCCCACCCTTGCTCTGTCTGTCTCTTTCTCCTTCTCTCTCAAAAATAAACAAACATTTGAAAACATTTAAAAAATTTTTTTAAATTTTTATTTGGGAGTATTCGTGTGTGTATGCGTGCACATGAGTGGGGGAGGGAGGAGAGAGGAGGAGAGGGAGGAGAGAGGAGGAGAGGGAGGAAAGGGAGGAAGGAGAGGGAGAGAGGAGAGAAGAGAGGAAGAGAGGGAGGGAGGAAAGGAGGGAGAGAGAGAGGAAGGGCAAGAGAATCTTAGTAGGCTCCATGCTTAGCACGGAGTCCAATGTGGGGCACAATCCCATGACCCTGGGATCGTGACCTGAGCTGATATCAAGAGTTGGATGCTCAACTGAGTCACCCAGGTACCCCTAATTCTATATACTTTTATGTAATATTATTGTCTTATTTTGTTTCTAAAAAGAATGAAGAGGATGGGGCACCTGGCTGGCCCAGTAGAATGTCTGACTCTTGACCTCAGGGTCGTGGTTTCAAGCCCAAGGCTAGGTACAGAGATTACTTTAAAAAAAAAAAAAAAAATAGACAGAAGGAGGCAGCTATGACGGGCACTCAGTGATGGACCCAGCCTTTTTCCTACCACCCAATTATGCTTTCCAGAGGTAGTTTTGAAACAATATGATACAATATAGAGACAAGAAGTTTCATAATAGTATTACATTGTTTTGGAAAATAGTAATCTACATTATCTATTGATTCTGCTAAGGGAACTCAGAGATGGGGATCTTCAAGCCACATACCTTCTTACTTGAATTGACGTTAAGAAACACCATTACTTATCTATCATTAAAACAAAACACTGTCATTTAAACCACAACACAATGCTAAAATATTACTGACTGTACTTAAAATCAATTATTTGAGGAGCACAAATAATTGCAACATTTCAAGGAAATCACATAAGTGGAGAGCACTGATGGTTTCTGGTCAAAGGAAGTCCTATAAAATAGTTGTAATCAACATGCTCACATTCTATCCTAGATGGAAGTTTTGAATGGAAATTTTAAATAAACAAGCCCTTCAGAGACCCGAAGCTACTTCCTTATCAGGATATAAACAATTTGGTAGTTAACAGTTTAAAGAGGCAGTTAAATGGCAGTTAATAACACAGATGAGTATATAAGAGAATATGTGGAATTCTCAATTAGATCTCTACTCTTTTCTCTCTAGACTGTACGCACATGTTCCCTTCAGATTTAAATACAGAAGGGTAACAGTATCTTTCAACTAAGTATTAAAGTCTCCGAGTTTACAAACTGATAATCTTCATGCAGCATCTCCCAGATTCTCTAATTTAAAATTCTTTTCTAAAAGAAAAAGGAGTTTCAAAAACTACTTTTAATGTAGTTGAAATTCCCTTCAGTTTACCTCTTTTGGGGGGTAGCTTCTGGAGCTTTGTGAAGCCTGTCAATCATAGCCTCCATACCCTCAGGTTGTCTTCGGCTGGGTGGCTTCGTTGTTTGTACATTGACTGTGCTTAATTCGACCTTCATGCCCTTAATAATACCTAGGAAGTCTTTTTTCCTGTTCTCCTTTACACTCTCTTGGGTCTCTGTGTCCTTGGAAATCTCCTGCGTCGGATCAGACTGCTTATCTTTCTTGCTGTAGATCACGTTGTTCGTGCCAAAGTATCTCTGGACTTTATGTTTTGTCCTAGAAAGATGTGTTAAGGAAAAAAAATGAAAAATACAATGGAAACTAATAAAGTAAGGACTGAGAAACATTGTTTCTGTGTGTTTTAAAATTTTCCAATTCAAACCCTTCCCTTTTGCTTTTTATTATTATTGTCAGCCATCGTAACGATTGCAATTTTAACATTTATTGAATATATAATATGTGCCCACTCTGGTGCAACATATTTTACGTACATTTTCTCATACCCGCATCAACTCCATAAGGCAAGTATTGTCCCCATTCTGCAGATAAGGAAACTGGAAACCAGAGAAGTGAAGTGATTTACCCAAGGTCATGTAGCTTAAAGCTCCCTATGGCCTAAGACATGCTGGTGAGTCACAAATGGGTTACAGATGTGCTGAGACTACCTGGTCCCTGGGGTAGCTGAGTGAGGCCTGGGGGCCGCTGGGGGTGCACCTAACTGGTGTCTCCTTCCATTCACCTCACGGTGAGTCATTTTCTATATGAAGATCATTTTCTATTTGTTCCATGACATTATAAAAAGGTCGCAACTTTCTGATCCACTCTCAGCAGAACGGCCACCAAGACGCACATTTCTGTGAAAGCCCTTATGGGGAAACCATCACTCTCCAGGATGATCCCCTGAATACAATAGAAAATGTAAAGGCCAAGACCCGGGACAAGGAAGGAATTCCTCTTGATCAGTGGAGACCCATTCTCCACAGGCAAGCAAGGGAAGATGGACATACCAGGCCTGACACAACATTCAAAAGGAGTCTAAGCGTCACCTCGTGTTGAGATTTGATGGTGGTGTTAAGAAAAGGAAGAAGTCTTACCCCGCCCCCAAGAAGCAGCAGAAGAGAAAGAAGGTTAAGGTAGTCGTCCTGAAATACTGTAAAGTGGATGAGAATGGCAAGATCAGTTGCCTTCATCAGGAGTGCCCTTCAGATGAACGTAGTGCTGAAGTTTTTATGGCGAACCACTTTGACAGACTGTGACAAATGCTATCTGACCTACTGCTTAAAGAAATCAAAAAGCAAGTAATTGTACACATGTTAATAAAAGACAGGAACATTAAAAAAAAAAAAAAAAGGTTACAGACACTGACAGAATTAACAAATTTCACTTATTATTTCTCAATCCCCAAACTGACTGACTGTTAAGTCCTTACCATGATTTAACAATACCTTCTTTAAAAGGTATAAAAATAAAGCCATTTCTATTAATAAAGAAAGGTTACTTTCTTTAAAGAAAAAAAAAACATGTCTGGGCAGGGGTTCCTGGGTGGCTCAGTTGGTCAAGCGGTCCACCTCTGGATTTCGGTTCGGGGCATGATCTCCCTGCATCGGGCTCCACAAGCAGAAGCCTGCTTGGGATTCTGTCTCTCCCTCTCTCTGTCTGCACCGTCCATTCCATACCTCTCGCATGTGTATTCTCTCTCTCTCAAAAATAAATAAAAGAAAAAAATTGTTTAAAAAATAAATCAAAGGGGCACCTGGGTGGCTGAGTTGATCAAGTGGCAGACTCTTGATTTTGGCTCAGGTCATGATCTCATGAGTTCGAGCCCCATACTGGGGCCCACACTGCAGTGGAGATTCTCTCTGCCCATGTTCTCTCTCTCTCTCTCAAAATAAGTAAAATAAGATTAAAAAAATACAAAAATAAAAACCATATCTGGGTATTATTCTAATCTGATTAACTTTCTCATTGAGCTATATGTCATTTAACCAATCACCATTTGTACAATTTGTCTTCTACATCCAGCTGTTACTTCCCATCCCCACTGCTACCAACCTGCTTAGAGCTGCACTTAACCAGACTGGCCCCAAATCGATCTGCAAGGGCTATATGCAGTAAAATTAAATTTTCATAAGGATGAGCGTTCTCAGAGAAGAAATACCAACATAAAGTATGCATAACTACCTTTTCTTGACTGGCTAGCTTCAACCCTTGGTCCCCCTTCACATTTTACCGGACTTCTTTTCCAGAAAGGATACTCTGAATCTTTCTTTCCTACAACGGTTAGCTGTCCGACTAGCTCACCCAGCAATTACTTGTATTAATAAAGCAGTGTGTGCTACCTACACCACCTCAGCTTTACTCCGCGGTACTGGAATTGCCTGCCTGATGGAACTATAGGTTCCGTGATGGCACGATCGTTTTTATTCGGGATTTAACACCGGCATTGGTACACTGTAAGTATTTTCAGTACTGAGCCAGAGAATATATGGAGGCTGGAATGAGACCACTAGACTCTTGGGAAGTAAAATAAATAAAAATAGGACAACTTCACTTCCGGAGCCTGGACTGAATGAGGGGAGAAGTGGCAAGAGGTACGAGGCGCGGTATGTAGTAGAAAGAGCACAGAACAGCAGACTATGCACATAACCGGAGCTCTGTTTCTCGCTCACACTATGACCTTGGGCAAGTCATACCTTTCCGGGATTTCCCTTTCCTCAGACTTAAAGCAACGGCTCCTAGGATCTCGCGGGTAATCACATCGACCCCAGGAAGCCGGAGAAAAATCACTGCGTGCACCGGAGGGAGGCCGGGAGTTGCCTCAAGACCTGCGGGGCCAACAGCGCCGAAATGCCGTACCTGACCGTTCCTTGCGGGGCGCCGAGTCTCACAATCGCAGCCGCCCGCGCCTCGGAGCCTGCAGAGCATAAAGGGACGCGGGAGAGGAGGCGAAGAGGCATGATCGCGGAGACTCTTGGAAACATCGCCGAGAAACAGGCGTTATGGCGAACACAACGGAGTAGTGCGTCCGTCTGCTAAACACGTCCCTCGCTCTCTCTTCCGTTCCCCAGCCTGGCGCGTTCCTTCCCTTCCGGTTCCGGTGGGCAACAGGGGCCGGTACCTAGGTTCCGGATTCGCCCGCCTGGGGCTGCTACGGCCGGCGGTTCTAGGCGAGGAGGTACAATCGATGCCTGAGTTCTGCTGAGATGCCCTGGTTGAGGCAGGACCCAGCCGGGAGAGGGAGAGTGTGGAGGGAGGGGTTTACTGTGCAAATGCTACTTTGGGGGCCAGTAAGGTGAGGCGGAGAACTGACCTTACTGGGCGGTTTTGTGGGGAGAGGATCCACAGCGTTCATCACATGCTCTACGTGATCCGTGGCCACAAAGGTTAAAAACGAAAAATTACCGTAGGACACGCTGCCGATAAATTCGTATTTATTTTCAGGCCTTGTTCTTGATGTAGAGTCAAGACACGTGAGACATATATGTTTTGCCTTTTCAAAAATGGTTTTAGAGAGGGGCGCCTGGGTGGCTTAGTCGGTTAAGCATCCGACTTTCGCTTAGGTCATGATCTCGCGGTTCGTGGGTTCGAGCCCCGTGTCGGGCTCTGTGCTGACTGCCAGCTCAGTCTATGACTCCCTCTCTCTCTGACCCTCCCCTGCTCACGCTGTCTCTCTCTCTCTCCTAGAAATAAAAAAAAATAAAAATATTTTAAAAAAATGGTTTTAGAGATAAAAATCTACAAGAGAAAGGCTTGGGTTTTTCCTGCCCTTCCTAAAGGCAGGGAACAGGGAATCAGGTAGGGTGGTCAAACCTGGCAGTGCGTGAGCATAAGCCCGCTGGGAGAATGCCAACTAATAGGTCACGTGGGAACCTCTAGCTTATTTTTTTAAGTTTATTTTTTTTAATTAAAGAACTTTTAATGCTTATTTATATTTGAGAGAGAGAGACAGTGCAAGCGGGGGAGGGGCAGAGAGAGAGAGGGTGACACAGAATGTGAAGCAGGCTCCAGGCTCTTACCTGTCAGCACAGAGCCCAACGCAGGGTTCTAGCTCACAAGCTGTGAGAGCATGACTGAGCCGAAGTTGGAGGCTTGCCCAACTGAGCCACCAAGGTGCCCTTATTTTTTTTTTAATTAAAAAAATTTTTATTTTATTTTTGAGAGAGAGGGAGGGGCAGACAGAGAGAGAATTTTAAGCAGGTTCTGCGCTGTCAACGCAGACGCCCAGCCAGGGGCTCAAACTCACAAACCCATGGGATCATGACCTAAGCTGAAATCAAGAGTTCACTGCCCAACTGACTAAAGCATCCAGGCGCCCCTATTTATTTATGTTGAGAGAGAGCGAGAGAGAACAAGCTTGTACACACTTGTGAGGGGCAGAGAGAAAGAGAGAGAGAGAGAGAGAGAAAATTCCAAGCAGGCTGCACTGTCAGTGCTGTTGGTGCTGAGCCCAACTCGGGGGCTGGAACCCAGGAACATGTGAAATCATGACCTGAGCCGAGATCAAGAATCAGATGTTTAACCAAATCAGCCACCCAGACACCCAGGAACCTCTAGCTTAGAATTGCATGTGGATAGTTGAATGCTGACATCAGCTTTTCCCCTACAGTTTCAAAAAAGAATCGAGATCGGTGGCAAATTCTTTGTAATCTGAAATACCGAAAAGTGTGAGTCATAAACATGTTGAGGAAAATGTATTCAGAATTAACTGGCCGATGTGAACCACCACCCAGATGGAGACAGAATATCACCAAGGGAACATACTTAATTTAATATCACTTGATATCTAGATGAAAACCCATTGAGTGTAATAGTCCATTAAAATCACATTAAATTTTTTAAAATATTTATTTTTGAGAGAGAGAGAGAGAGACAGTATGAGTGGGGAAAGGGCAGAGAGAGGGAGACACAGAATCCGAAACAGTCTCCAGGCTCCAAGCTGTCAGCACAGAGCCTGATGCAGTGCTCACACTCACGAATAGCGAGATTATGACCTGAGCCCAAGTCAGGCGTTTAACCGACGGACGCACCTAGGTGCCCTCAAGTCACATTTAATAATTACTTCATCCTTTTTCCAATTTCTAATAATAACCCTCAACTTTTTTTTTAAGGTTGACAAAGGGGACTGAAACTGCCATCTCAGATTCACAGCTTCTCTGAAGGTAGATCCTGTCCCAATTATCCTGATCCTAGTCAACTCTACGGCAGTATATACCCTGCATATGCCCTACCTCCTTCTATTAGGGCAGATAGGCAGATATGAGAGAACCTGGCTAAAGGAAACAAGTAGGGATTGAAATTCAGCCTTGCTCAATGCTGACTCCTTCAATGGTCACTTTCCAAAAGAGGCCTTCTTTGATTTCTGTGGTTAAAATAGCATCGTGAGCCATCCAGTCACACTCTCTGGCAGGGATTGCTGCCTCCCAATCCCCATTTGCTTCTTCCTCTGGAGCTTTAGCTCAACACATGGCCACAGCAGAGACTACATTTCCCAGCCTCCCTTGCAGGCAGGTATGTCTGCATCTAATCAATAGAATGTGAGTAGCCGTGATGTGCCCTTAAGAAATGGGCACAAATTCCACACAAACTTGTCTCCTTCCTCCCAGTTGGAATATAGACCAGATGATAGCCAGGGAATGGAGAGATGAAGGATTTCAGAGATGAAGATGACAGCCATCCTACCTCTGTCCTTAACCACTTCCTCCAGACAGTCACAAAGTAAGGGGGGAAGACCACTTCCATCTCGTTTAAATGTAGTTTTGAGTGTTTTGGTGACAAGTAATCTAGATCGTCTCTTAAAACTAAGGTACCTTCTGTGTCAGAATCTTGTTCCATTTTCTACAGAGTATCACTAAGTGAAATTAATCCCATATTTATATGCTTAAATGCTTATTATCTCACTCTGACAGAATGTGGGTCCCATGAAGGAGTGGACTTTGTCTTATTCTTTGCTGCAATCCTAGTTCTTAGAGCCATGCCTGTCATGTCATAGATGCTCAAAAATATTCAGTGAATAAATAAGTTATTTCCAAGTACAAAGAGAAAAAAAATAGGTGCAGAGAGTTTAAGTAATTTGCCCAACTTCCTGCAGCTAGTCCATGGCAAAGCAAGATTCAAATTCAGAACCAGTTAACTCTGATACTCTTGTTCATTTTGGAAATACCTGGCAGTTTATGATTTTACTCATGCATAAAAGTAGAGGCGCTTACTGATACACATTACTGAGAGGCTCAGAAGATCTGAATCTGAGATTCAGCACCCCAGGTGATTCTGGTGCTGGTCTTCAGACAAAACTGTGAGGTATACTGCTAGTCATTCATAGCTTTGTATACACTTAAAGAAAAAGTATTAAAAGCTCTAATCAGATTATTAATTTGCATGAACATCAAAGTCATTATGCTAAGTTAGTGGAACATAAGGCCAAGAGCCCACAGATTGTATGAATCCACTTAAATAACAATGCGAAGAAGACAAAGCTAGAGGGACAGAAATCAGATCACAAGTTACCAGGCGGTGGGGCCACTCTGGAGAACAGTATGGAGACTCCTCAAAAAACTAAAAATAGAACTGCCCTATGACCCAGTAATTGCACTGTTAGGTATTTACCCAAAGAATACAAAAATACAGATTCGAAGGGGTACCTGCACCCTGATGCTGATAGCACCTTTATCAACAACAGCCAAACTATGGAGAGAGCCCACATGTCCACCGACTGATGAAAGGATTAAGAAGATGTAATGTTACAATGATACATTACTCAGCTATCAAAAAGAATGAAATTGTGTCATTTGCAGTGACACATTGCAAGAATGAAATTGTGTCCATTTGTGAATGCCACTAGAATGTATTATGGTAAGTGAAATAAGTCAATCAGAGAAAGACAAATGCCATATGATTTCACTCATATGTGGAATTTAAGAAACAACCAGATGAGCACATGGCAAGGGTGGAGGAACGAGAAGAGTAAGAAACTACAAGAGACTCTAAACAATAGAGAACAAACTGAGAGTTGATGGAGGGAGGTGGTTGGGGGATGGGCTAGATGGGCGATGGGTACTAAGGAGGGCCCTTGTCTTGATGAGCACTGAGTGTTGTATGTAAGTGATGAATTGCTGGATGCTACTCCTGAAATGGCATGTTATTGCACTGTATGTTAACTAGAATTTAAATTACAAAAAAAATAAGTAAATAAAATAACAATGGAAAAAAAAAAATTACCAGGAGATGGGACTGGAAGGAGGTGACTGAGTATGACAGAGCATGAGGGAACTTGCAGAACTTACTGAAATACTGGCATGACTCTGGCGGAGGTCGTGGCTTCTCAGTTACCAAAACTTAAAAAACTTGTACACCTAAAATGTGTGCATTTTGCTGTATATAAATGATATTTCAACAAACCTGACTTTAACAAAAAAGGTAGTTAAAGCAGTTCTAATTGGCCACAAAGTAAGCCACAGGGGAATTTGAGAATATCCTAAGGAAAAGAAAAATAAGCCTATCCTTTGAAAAAACATAACCTGTGCAATTGTCCAGAGCAATCATTAATGAGAGCAACAAAACTGTAGCCTGAAAGTAGAAAATGTTTTCCCTCCTTCTATTCTGGCATTGACTCACCAGTCATTTTCTTCTTAGTACCCCCCTTGAAATGCACTTTCTAGAACCTTTGGCAAGAGGCAGCAAATCAACTGAAATAGGTCCTGATATACACCAGTGACTTCTTCCCAAATGTCTCATGAAATTCTACACTGATTAACTCAACAAGCCTTCCATGAAAACAAAAGACAAAGTTATTCTATTTTCCAATTATCAATTGCTGCATAACAGATCACCCCAAAAGAGCAGCTTAAAACAACACTTTATTCTCTCTCACTGTTCTGTGGCTCACTGTGCTCAGCCGGGCGGTTTCTACTTGGCGTCTGTCATGTGGTTGCAGTCAGACAGCAGCTAGTCTGGATTGGATGTCCCAGATGTTTTTCTTTTTTAAATTTAAATGTTTGTTTGTTTATTGAAGGAGACAGAGAGCATGAATGGGGGAGGGGC